AAAATAATTGATTTGTATTTTTGGTTTGTTTTATCACGTTAATGTGATCAATGTTAAATTTCATTGTTCGGGTGTTTGACCGTCAATCACACTGAACCAACTGAACGGATTTTGATAAAATTTTATATACAGGCAGGGTATGAGCTGACTTAGGTGATAGGACTTTTTATCCAGATTAAATGCTCTCATGGGAAACAGGAATACGCAGGCAAAGCCGCGGGTAAAACTAGTTGAAAATAGGTAATTCAATATTCTTTACTTATTTAAACACTACTTTTGTTTCAAATTAAACTTTGTTTTTGTTCTCAACTAAAAACAAAAGCTAAATGAATTGAGTTCTAAATGTTTTAAAACTAGTAAAGTTTAGATTCGATTCGATTAATATATTCTAAATCGATTTGCAATCGTCGAGTACCACCTGACATCGATTGTAATTCGATTATAAATCTGAATATTCAATGGACAATTTCAAAAGAATTTGTGGATAAGCTACTTCAAGATCGTCCTAATAAATTCATATTTTCATCAAACATTGAAAATTGGAAGAATTTTCAATCAAACGCTTAAATGAGTTTTGAATAGTCAAATCAAACTTTACAAATCAATAGGCAACAAAATGTCTTTAAAGCTTAAATTAAGGTAGGCATCTTCACACCACTATTTCACAACCTACCTTAGTCTAAGCTTAATAATGGTCTTTTACAATGAATAAAGATACATAAGTGTGGGAGAGCCATGCTTCGGCACGAATGGGCCGGCTCGACCGTAGTGATACCACGGCCTCACAGAAAACCGATGTGAAGCAACGCTTGCGTTGTGTTTCGTCATGTTAGTGAGGTTACCGGAGGCCCAATTACCCTCCCCTTCCCCAATCTCCCCAATTCCTGAATCCCCAACGATCCTCAAACTTCTAATCTCCAAAAGGCCGGTAACGCACTTGTAACGCCTTGGTGTTTCGAATGTCCATGGGCGGCGTCGATTGCTCACCATCAGGTGATCCGTCAGCTCGTTTACCAGCTTATGCCATAAAAAAAGTAATACATGCTTATTTCAAGCACGAAACCTCTTGTCACTTAGTAGCATGTTTGTAGGAATGCTGTTCTAAAATGTTAATTTAATGCTTATTTTTGAACATTTATGAGTATGCTCAATAGGACTCCTTTTAATATGCTACTTAAAAACTACCGACCAATAACATTTTTCCCACAACGAATTGAAACCAGCTCCCATAATAACAAATGACAGTCATCAACAAAGCGACATACACACACACACACACACATATTTCCCATACATGTTTGCCCGTCAACCTTTTTCAAAGTTTTATAGCACTGTATAGAAAATTAGAACACTAACTAGCTATTAATTACTCATAAGAAATATATCAAGCAAAGCATATTGTTTCAATTTAAACATCTTAAATTGGGACGAACAACTTCCAGCCGGAGAACCTAACGGGTTACCGGGGCTCCGGTTCAACGTGCATGAGAAGGAACGGGGTGGTTTTTAGTCAGTAAGAGTCTGACACTCCCTCCCGCCTCACCCAGGCGGGAGCAGTCATTCGTTGAGATTTTCCCCCCTTAAAAAAAAGTCGTTTATCTAACAAAACAGTATTAAAATATGACGTGAAATTGACTATACAGAATCCAGAATGCATACCATTACTAAGATCTGGACTTAGCTAGCTAAATAAAACTGGCTGCGAGCCAAAATAGCCTAACGAGGATTTATGATATCGATATTGACACGAACATTAGATATTTTGAAAGCGTAACGTATAGTTACAGATTTTCCATTCAAAAGACGAAAGAACTTATTTCAGTTCGTTGCTATTAGGATTTTTTTGATTGTATTATAAATATGGCAGTATTTATGAAAGTACTCAGTGGTACATAGGTATGCTATTGAGCAGATATGTGTCCAGGAATTTATGGATAGGGTTCCGTAGGTCAATTGTCGATCGCATCAAGTCTAGTCAAATTAGAGTTTAGATTTTTCTTAATTGATAAGAGATAACTGAAGTAACGTACACATATATTTTTTTATAGCATAAGCCGGAAAACGAGCAGACGGATCACCTGGTAAGCAATCGGCGCCGCCCATGGACACCCGAAACACCAAAGGCGTTACAAGTGCGTTACCGGTTTTTGGGAATTGAGGATTTGAGGATTGTGGAGGATTCGGGGATTCGGGAGATTAGGGAGGGGGGTAACTGGGCCTCCGGTGACCTCTTTCACGCGACGAAACAAAACGCAAGCGTTGTTTCAAGTCGGTTTTCTGTGAGACCGTGGTATCACTCCGGTCGAGCCGGCACATTTGTGAAAACTACCACTACCTACGTGCTAACCACCACTTCTCTACTGGTCCCCTAAGGAAATAACGAATTTAAAACTGTTATAACAGTAGCAAAGTTATAAAAGTAGAAACCTATAAACATTTATGGCCAAAGATTTTGAACTAGACCTTGAACAGTAACCACGAAAATAAAAATCAATAAAAGTTGACACTGAAAATACTATTGCTCCGATTTGCATCAATTTACTTGTAAATGAAATTACATCGTTCAACAGAATATGAAAAAAATAAGCGCCTGAAAACGGCATTGGAACAGATTGGCCTTGACTTTTACCTCTCCTGGAATTTCATTTCCCCGCTGAGAAACTCGATGAAGACATTAAAATTCATTGATGACCGTGATTAAAAATGAATTAGACTGTAACTCATAACAAATCTGATATTTTTTGTTATAAAACGAGAAACACAATCGTTGTAGCATGTAGTTATATATTTATTTTATTTTAATCATTGTTGAATTAGTGGTTGCACATCCAACTGCTGAACGAGGGTTCTTGAGTTTGATATCTGATATGGTTTTAGAATCATTGTAATTTTATGTGGCTTTCGATAATTTCCAAATTTTAGTAATGAGTTTGGATTTGTGGTCAATGCAATATAGGGACGAGCCCAATGTTTGACGAAACCTACACATATTTTAGCTAAAATCTTTGGGAAATCGAATACTATTTTATCCAACCTTAGATGACTTCACAGAAGTATCATTTTGTTCAGTCGCACTTGCCACACAAACAAGAAAAAATTCAAAATCATCATTAATCTCCGTTTCAACTCATTAATCTTGTTTAGCCAACCCAAACTAATACCTAGGTAATCTATTTTCATATTTACTATGGACGGAACTTATAACTGGATGGTTTAAAATTTACATAGTAACCGAGCCAAAACTCCTTCAAACTTGGAAGCAGTTTCGTGTTTAAATTTTCAAGTTTTCAATACCAAGGTACCTTCTTCGTCATAGTGAAAATTTATCGCTTTTAGTTAAACGGGTTATCTTTTGATAATGGTGGAATAGAGCCGTTTTTGTGAACGGCAGATTAAAATATATTTGTCAGCACCCATAGTATTCTCGTGGGTGTCGTAAGACCCCAATCCTTCTCCATCCCATGCCTAGTTCCAAAATCTCCCGTCCTCGGATTGGGGACCCTCAAAAGGTCATCAACGTACTCGTAGCATTTTGTATTAGGAACGGGGTGGTTTTTAGTCAGTGAAAGTCTAACACTCTCTTGCCTCACCTAAAGATGGAGAAAACATTGGTTGATTATCTCCTTCAAAAAAATCGTTCAGTATTGCGCTTATCATTAGGAGATTGGTCATTCGCCACCCTACCTCATAAGTACTACTCAATACACATAATTAGAGACTGGGTATTTAACTGTCACCTTGAACCTTTTATTTAGCAGACTAGCGACCCGCCCCGGCTTCACACGGGTGCAATATGCATGTATTATACATACAAACCTTCCTTAAGAATCACTCTATCTATTAAAAAAAATCGCATCAAAATCCGTTGCGTAGTTTTAAAGATCTAAGCATACATACGGACATACAGCGAAAGCGACTTTGTTTTATACTATGTACTAGTGACCCGCCCCGGCTTCGCACGGGTGCAATATGCATGTATTATACATACAAACCTTCCTTAAGAATCACTCTATCTATTAAAAAAAACCGCATCAAAATCCGTTGCGTAGTTTTAAAGATCTAAGCATACATACGGACATACAGCGAAAGCGACTTTGTTTTATACTATGTATTGATATCTCTAACCCATTTGTCGTGCGTGGAAATTATGGCAAACTCTCATAATATGAGGATGAGAGTCCTAGTAGAGGACTGTCCCAAACGGTGAATGTTGGTACAGATTATCACTATCTTAAAAATGTTTAAATAAAGAATTTTTCCTAGGCATTAAATTTTTCTCACCAGTTTTTCTAGAAGCAATGAAAAGTCAATTAGTAACTTTTTACTCTCGATTAATTCGGTCAATTTTGAGTTCGTAATCTGATTTTAAAGTGATGTTTTAAACGGCTTTCTTTTATTAAATAATCGAGCATTTACATTCTTTGTGGTGCGTTGCTAGAAAAGTTATTTAATGATAGGCAATTTGACCTTGTGACAGTCAGTTGGATATCAGGATAATTGTTTAGTTTGCCAGTTATTTCAAAGTTGTTATTTGCCCTATCCTATTTTTTCTGTAATTCTTATGTTTCAGCGCTAGTTAGTAAGTTATTAATTATTTAGTGTATATCTACCTCTATATATAGATTAAATCACCATTATTCCTTATAAGTAATTATATCTTAAAAATATACATAAGTACCAAAAAAAACTTAAATTTTGTTTTAACATTATCATAACAAATTGTTTATTATATCATAAACTAGCTTCTGCCCGCGACTTCGTAGTTATAAGTGGTGTAACTAACACGACTTTCTTTTTTATATATATAGAAGATATCAATATCATAAACAATTTAAACTCATTATATTATTATTTTTTTCAATTTATTCAATGTTTCTATTTTCTAAGTAGCGTACTAATTTTGTTAATTTCTATGAATCTCTTGATAACATCATTCTAGAAAGTTCAATCTAAGCTTTTGTTGTGATCTTACATTTTCCTAAACAAAGTTGTTGTTGCAGTATTCTTCATCTGCTTCTTACCGTACCACGCGCTGGAGATGTGGTTCCATCTCTCACCGACGGCGCAGACAGATTACAACGATTGGATACACGCTTTGAGGATAATGGGCTTTTGTCTTAGGTAAGTAACTAAAAATTAAATAATTTCAATATCTTATCCTTTCTTCGTTTCCTCATCTTTATTTTACTATTTGTTTTTGTGTTAGTTTTTTAAATTGAATTGAATATCACCAATTAAAATAGCAATGAATGGAGTTTCTTGCTCGTTCTTCTCCATTCGAATCTACATTTTGGAACGAGTACCTAGCTTCACTGACAGACTATTATTTATTTTATATTTGTTTACGATTTCAAAGTACCAAATTATGGTTTACTTGAAATAAATGCTTTGACTATGACACCATCTAATGTCTCGTCTATGTCTTGTAGGTATTGTGAAAGAGCTTATGAATATGTTACACATACCGTGTGTTATAATCCTATATCCATGTCAATCCTCTAGTGCACTTTGTTTGAAACACAGGACTTCTATGTTATGAATAATATAGGTATGGTCTAGATGACCACGCTGATACAATTTTATTATGACTACCCAGCGAACCACAGAGGGGTCAACCACAGTTACGCATACAGTATCATACATTCAGTCGACACGAAATAATTCGTTATGTTTTTTAAAAAAATACATAACATCACGCCTTTTTATCCCCGAATGGGTATGCAGAGGTGCACATTACGGCACTTAATACCACTGTACAAT